TGTGAAGTTAATGAGAATTAAATCGGTCGAGGATCAGGCAGGACTACAAAGAGACCTGGACATGCTACAAGCCTGTTCCAGCAACTGGCTCCTTGAATTTAACCCTGCCAAATGCAAAGTCATGAAGATCAGGGAAGGGCAAAGAAGACTGTTGACAGAATAGTCTGGGTGGCCAAAGATTGGAAACCTCACTCAAGGAAAAAGATCTTGGGGTGAGTATAATACCGAGCACATACCCTAGGCGCACATCAATCATATAACTGCTGCAGCATATGAGTGTCTGGCAAACCTAAGAATAGCGTTCCGATACCTTGGTAAGGAATTGTTCAAGACTTTGTACACCATGTACATCAGGCCCATATTGAAGTATGCAGCACCAGTTTGGAATCCACACCTGGTCAAGCACTTCTAGAAATTAGAGAAAGTGCAAAGGTTTGCAACAAGAAGAGTTCCAGAGCTAAGGGGAATGTGCTACAAAGAAAGGTTAAGGGAAATTGGCCTGACAACACTGGAAGACAGGAGGGTTAGGGAAGACATGATAGAGACATACAAAATTCTGCGAGGAATTGACAAGGTGGACAGAGACAGGATGTTCCGGAGATGGGACACAGAAACAAGGGGTCACAATTGGAAGTTGATGAGTCAGAGATGTTAGGAAGTATTTCTCTAGTCATAAAGTTGTCAGGAAGTGAAATAGTCTGGCAAGTGATGTAGTGGAGGCAGGAACCATGCATTGCTTTAAGACAAGGTATGATAAACCTCATGGAGCAGGGAGAGAGAGGTTATTGTTTGGAAGGGGAATCTTCCTCCATAAGGACTTCAGGTATCAAGGCCCTATCCAGGGTTACTTCCCTTCTTTGTCTTTTACTGGCACCAGGACCAGCTCGAGTCACTGGACCCCTGTCGCACAAAAAATCTGTCCAGAGAGGTTTGTTTCTGGTGTGTGTCTAAGATTTGCATAAAATGGAACAAGGCATTGTCATTCAACATGTTGCAGACATGGTTTGCAACAGCTTTGTTAGGGTGATATTTCTTCACAAAACTTTGTAACTCGTTCCACTTTGCACTCATGTCCTTAATCACTGAAGAAGGCACATTCCCTCTCTCTTCCTCCTCCTCTGAAGCAATTTCCTTAGCTGCAGTCTCTTGCTGTTCCAGTTGAAGGTCCTGCAGATCTTCAGTGGTTAGCTCTTCCCTGTGGTTGTCCAACAACTCTTCCACATCCTTGCCACTCACATCCAACCCCATGGACTTCCCCAAAGACACAGTAGATTCCACAGTAGACATAAGGTCGTCAGGGTCAGCCTCAAGCCCTTAAAAATCCTTCTTGCAGACACATTCTGGCCACAATTTTCTCCAAGCAGAGTTCATTGTCCTGGAAGTCACTCCCTGCCAAGCCTTATCTATAAAACTTATGAAATTGAGGCTATTGAAGTGATTCCTCCAGAAATCTCTTAGGCGGATGCATTTGGTACGGTGGACCATTGTCAACTCTACGAAAACCAAGCATATGTACGAAAACTGGGACAAAATTTTGATGAAAAAAGTCGTCAAAAACAAAATCCTACAAAAACCAGGGCATACAAAAACAGAGGTTCCACTGTATATGTGAATAACATGACAGAAGGAATATACTCAGAAGTGTCCCCGTTTGCAAACGACATGAAGTTAATGAAGAGAAATCAGTCGGAGGACAATAAAGCAGAACTACAAAGGGATCTGGATAGGCTACAGCTCTGGCCCAGCAAATGGCTCCTGGAGTTCAGCCCCATCAAGTGCAAAGTCATGAAGATTGGGGAAGGGCAAAGAAGGCCAGACAGAATACAACCTAGGGGGCCAAAGACTACAAACCTCACTCATTGAGAAGGATCTTGGGGTGAGTATAACACTGAACACATCTCCTGAGATGCACATCAACCAGATAACTGCTGCGGCATATGGGTGACTAGCAAACCTAAAAATAGCATTCCGACTTCTCAGTAAAGAGTCATTCAGGACTCTGTATACCATGTACGTCAGGCCTATATTGGAGTATGCAGCACCAGTTTGGAACCCACACCTGGCCAAGCACACCTAGAAATTTGTGAAAGTGCAAAGGTTTGCAACGAGACAAGTCCTGGAGTTAAGGAGCATGTCCTATGAGGAGAAGTTGAGGGAAATTGACCTGATGACACTGGAAGACAGGGAACATGATAACATAAAATACTGAGAGGAATCAACAAGTTGGACAGGGACAGGATGTTACAGAGATGGGACACACCAACAAGGAGTCACATTTGAAAGTTGAAAACTCAGATGAGTAACAGGAATGTTAGGAAGTATTTCTTCAGCCATAGAGTTGTCCGGAAATGGAACAATCTGAAGAGTGATGTAGTGCAGGTAGAATCTATATATAGCTTTAAGAAGAGATACACCAAAGCTCATGGAGCAGGGAGAGAGTGGACGCAGCAGTGACCAGTGAAGAGGTGGAACCAGGAGCTGTGACTCAACCCCTGTAACCACAAATAGAAGAGTACAAATATAGGTGGGTATACACGTTGCCTATTAATTGTTACAAAAGTGTAGCTATGCTCATGAATTTTTATATTTTTTAAATATTTTTGTCATGTTTGAATGCCATACTATTTCTGCATTTTCCAGTTTTGAGCAAAATTATAGTGTTAATAACAAGTTCTGTCATTTTAGCATATCTACGTATATATGTAGGCTCTTTTAAAATTTGTCAGTGCAGCATAAAAATTCTTCACTACTTCTTAGTGACAATATTTAATGTTTCTTACAGTACTCCTTTATCCATCACACAGTATTTTTTTGCGTAATGTATATGTGGTGTATTATATTCCTTTCACTCACTCCTTTTACACTTCACTTTTTTTTTTTTTTTACACACTGGCCGTCTCCCACCAAGGAAGGATGACCTGAAAAAAAAACACTTTTATCATCATTCACTCTTGTCACTGTCTTGCTAGAGGCACGCAGATACTGTAGTTTAGATGTCCCTCCAAACTGCAGATATCCCCACCCCTCCGGGTATGTAAAAGAAGAAAATCAAAAGCCATTATAGGAAAGAGTAAGGTGATGAGGATAACTAAAAAATTAGGTGATGAAAGATTGGATATCAGATTGGAGGGCGAGAGTATGCAGGAGGTGAATGTATTCGGATGTTTAGGAGTACACGTGTCAGCAGATGGGCCTGTGAAGGATGAGGTGCATCATAAAATTGATGAGGGGAAAAGGTGAGTGGTGCACTTAGGAGTCTGTAGAGACAAAGAACTTTGTCCATGGAAGCAAAGAGGGAATGTATGAGAGTATGTATAGTTATACCAATGCTCTTCTGTGGGTGTGAAGCATAGGTGGTGAATGTTGCAACAAGGAGAATGCTTGAGGCAGTGGGGGTGTTATGTCTGAGGACAATGTATTGTGTGAATATAATGCAGAGAATTCATAGTCTGGAGATTAGGAGGAGGTGTGGGATTACCAAAACTATTATTGAGAGGGCTGAGGAGGGGTTGTTGAGGTGGTTGGGACATGTAGAGAGGATGGAACAAAATAGAATGACTTCGAGAGTGTATAAATCTGTAGTGGACGGGTTGGCCTAGGATAGGTTGGAGGGAGGGGGTAAAAGTGGTTTTGTGTGTGAGGAGCTTGGACTTCCAGCAAGCCTGTGTGAACATGTTTGATAGGAGCGATGGAGACAAAGGGTTTTAGGACTTGATGTGCTGTTAGAGTGTGAGCAAGGTAACATTTATGAAGGGATTCAGGGAAACCGGCAGGCCAGACTTGAGTCCTGGAGATGGGAAGTACAGTATCTGCTCTCTGAAGGAAGGGTGTTAATGTTGTAGTTTTATAACTGTAGTGTAAGTGTGACTCTGGCAAGACAGTGATGGAGTGAATGATGATGAAAGCTTGTCTTTTTTGGGCCACTCTGCCTTGGTGGGAAACAGCCAGTGTGTTAATAATAATAATAATAATAAAAAGTCGCACCTCCTCCTACTCTCCAAGCTGTGAATTCTTTGCATAATATTTACACCACACATTGTCCTCGGAGAAGACATATCCACTGCCTCCAGCCTCCTCCTCGCTGCAACATTCACAACCCATGCTTTTTACCCATACAAGAGTGTTAGTACCACTATGCTTTCGTACATTCCCCTGTTTTCCTCTATGGATAACATTCTTTGTCTCCACAGATGCCTCAGTGCACCACACTTTTTTTTTTCCTTGTAAATTCTTTGGTTCACCTCATCTTTTATATACTCTTAAAATAGATGGTATCTTTTGTTTCTTGAGGAATCAAAACATTGCTTCAGTCCCCCTCAAAAATGCTGCATTGTATCAGCTCAGAGGTGCTAGTTGTTCATTATATTACTTTTTCTCCTCCACAGAGTTTTGTTTCTGGGTTCTAGAGCACAGCATTTGTTAGGTCAGGCTGAAAATTCTTTCTTAGATACTAGTAAATGCCACTTTCAGACTCAGGGTATTCCTTTACACCCTCTACACCTCTCAAGGAAGATTCCTAAATGCCAGTGAGGGGCTTTAGATCATCCAAGGAATTATATCTGACCTTCCCTTCCTTGGATCGAACCTGGTTACCTCTCATTCTTTCAGGCGCTGTATCATCCTACAGGTTTAGCATGCTCACTGTGAGGGTAATAATAATAATGCATCCTCCAGACTTGAAAACTGAGACACATAAGTTGTATTATACTCTGATGTTTGAAGAGCTTGCTTTTTTTTGTCATGTGTGGCATTAGGTCCTGTTGCTGTCTAATGTAAAAATGTTCATTATATGTGTTTTTCTTGCCCAAAGCTTAGGAGCCACATTTTAACATGTTGTTAGATACAGTTAGCAACCTATTTAAGCCCCAAGAAATGCTCAGTAATATTTATAATTTTTGTAATAGTTTTTTGTTCCAAATAGCATATTTATGTAATGAAAGATAATTATAAACATTTTTTTATGCCAGTAACTCGCTATACTTAATGCTTATCTTCTGTAGAGATCACGTGATTCTGGAGGCCGTGATGAAGGGACTGAGGTGAAGCAGCAGTTAGGAAGTCTGGAGTTTGTAAGACGTGTCATAGACAATCGCATTAACAGAATAGACAAAGGGTCAGAAACTGATTCCATGGGTAAGTTGCTAAATTGCTTTAAAATCTAAAGGAATATTAGTTAATGTTTTTTAACTAATTTCTTGGGTCCACTGCCACCACTCGCACACCTTAAGAATGGCTAGTGCTCCACTACACTTCACTCTTAAATAAAAAAAATTTGCAGATGAGTATCCTGGATCTACCCCCAGATGTTTTATTTATTTGTTGTTAAATAGTTAATTCATTATTTTTAACATAATTATTTTCTTCTGTATTGTGATTAAAGTTACCATATATTACAAGTCATAAGATGACCATTTTGGACAAAATGTAGCTGATGTTGTAACTCCACATTGTGTGAGCATGAAGTACAGTTATTTCTGAGAAACCATTAACATAACATTGATAACACATTCAGAATGTTTTGGCAGCATATTATGTTGAGTTGCAACAGTGCTTGGGGTATTGCTTGGGGTATTGTTGCAATGAAAAGTTGTAGACTTGTTGGGGTTAAGAAATGGACATCTTCTAGAACCTTTCCAGGAAGGGGCAAGGAGATGAGCAAACCAAGAGCTTGACATCAGTGTGCATGTTTTTTTCTTAATACAGGCCTAATCCTGGAAATGGCAGTTGCCCCTTTCTCCTCAGATGCCATTACTTGAACAGCATCTGCTCTTGAAGAGTTGCAATGGCCATAGGGCTATTATTAGGTTAAAAGTATGTTTGATACTTCATGAAGATAAAAAGTGCAATAGAAGACTAAAACCTACTGTAAATTACATTGTGATAGATATGTCACCATACTACAGAAAATGAAACATATATATTTACCCACAGGTTTGCCTGTAAATTTGGACTACCAGCATTTAGCTCGTGGGAAACTGTTTCAGCTGCCACTGGAGGCAATATTAAAGAATAGTCTCACTCTGGATCATTTCCTCAACTACATGGCTTCAGTTAATGCTCAGCATTATATCAACTTATATTTGAACATTGAATGTAAGTTACATATACTTGTGTTTTAGACAGTGTTTTTTTTTTTTCCAACACATCGCCCACTTCCCACTGAGACAGGGTGAACCAGAAAGAAAGAAAAAACGTTCATCATCGTTCAATACTTTCACTATCACTCATACATAATCACTGTCTTTGCAGAGGTGCTCAGATGCGACAGTTTAGACGTCCCTCCAAACTGCCAATATCCTAAACCCTTCCTTTAAAGTGCAGGCATTGTACTTTCCATTTCCAGGACTCAAGTCCGGCTAACCGGTTTCCCAGAATCCCTTCACAAAATATTATCCTAACACGCTCACACACACTTGCTGGAAGTCCAAGCCTCTCACTTACAAAACCTCCTTTACCCCCTCCTTCCAACCTTTTCGAGAACAACCTCTACCCCACCTTACTTCCCCAATAGATTTATATGCTGTCCAAGTCAGTCTACTTTGTTCCATTCTCTCTAAATGACCAAACCACCTCAACAGCCCCTCTTCAGCCCTCTGACTAATACTTTTAGTAACTCCACACCCCCTCCTAATTTCCACACTATGAATGCTCTGCATAATATTTACACCACACATTGCCCTTAGACACAACATCTCCACTGCCTCCAGCTGCCTCCTCGCTGCAGCATTTACAACCCGTGCTTCACACCCATATAAGAGTGTTGGTACCACTATACTCTTGTACATTCCCTTCTTTGCCTCCATGGATAATGTTCTTAGTCTCCGCAGATACCTCAATTCACCACTCATCCTTTTTCCTTTATCATTTCTATGGTTTACCTTATCCTTCATAACCCTATCCGCAGACAAGTCAACTAAAAAATATCTGAAAACATTCACTTCTTCCATACTCCCTCCCCACAATGTGATATCCAATTTTTCTCTATCAAAATTGTTTGTTACCCTCATCACCTTACTCTTATCTGCATTCACTGTCAACTTTCTACCTTTACACACCCTCCCACACTCATCCAGTAACCTTTGCAACTGTAGAATCTCCCAAAAGCACATTATCATCAGCAAAAATTGTCTTTTTAAACCCCCTTTTTGTATTTGTTTTTCCCCAAAATTTTAAATTTCCCACCCCTCCCCCAACCCCCTACATTTACTTCTTTACACCCTCATCTATAAATATGTTAAACAACCATGGTGAAATAAAATTTCAAAAGGGGGAATTGACAAAAGTTATTTTTTGTGATAAAACTGGGGTATGGGAGTTTCTAAAAGAAAAATTGCAAAGGTTAGTGGAGAGTTTAGAAAGGTGTAAAGGGAGAAAGTTGAAAGTGAAATAGAAAAGAGTAAGGGGATGAGGTTCAATGATTTTGATAAAAAAAATTGGATATCAAAATTGGGGGGGAGAGTATGGAAAAGTGAATGTTTTTCGATACTTGGGTTTTACGTGTCGGCGGATGGATTTATGAAGGGTGAGGTTAATCATAGAATTAGAGGGAAAAAGGTGGTGGGCGTTTAGGGATATGTGGAGTCAAAAATTATCTTGGAGGCAAAGAAGGAAAGTAAAGAAAGATAGTATACCAACCTCTTTAGGGGTGAAAATTGGGGGTAAATGCAGCAGGGGGGGAGACGGTTTTGGGGTGTCCCGTCTAAGGGCAATTGTGGTGTAAATTTATGCAAAAATTTGGAGTTGGAAATTAGGGGAAATTGGGATTAAAAAAAAACATTATAAGAGGGGGAAGAGGGGGTTTTTGAGGGGGGTTTGGTCATTTAAAGAAATGGATCAAACGTGACAGGGAAGCATATAAAAACTATAGGGGAAGGGAAAAAGGGGTAGGGGGCGTCCTCGAAAGGGGTTTGGGAAAAAGGGGTAAAGGGGGTTTGTGGGTGAGGGGGTTGGACTTTTCCCGCAAGCGTGCATGAGCTGTTTGATTTGAGTGAAGGAGACGAAGAACTTTGGGGGCCTGCGATTTTGGAGTTGAGCAGGGTAATATTAATGAAGGGATTCAGGAAACCGGGTTTTTTATATATCGGGCTTGAGTCCCGGAATGGGAAGTACAATCTCACTTTAAAGGAGGGGTTTTGGGGGTATTTGGCAGTTTGGGGGGATATGTTTGTATCTCTTAAAGTATATGCTTCAAACGTTTTATTTGAGCACCTCTCAAAAGCAGTGATAATGTGTGTGTGTGGGAAAGTGTTGAATGATGATGAAAGTATTTTCTTTTTGGGGATTTTCTTTCTTTTTTTTGGGTCCCCTGCCTCGGTGGGGGAAAACCCACTTTTGGAAAAAAAAAAAAAAAAAAAAAAAGGGACATTAACCCCTCCTGGTAAACCTATTATCCAGGGAAATAATCTCCCTTCCCCCCTTTCACACCCTAACCTGAGCCTCATTATCCTCATAAAAACTCTTTACAGCATTTAGTAACTTACTACCTATTCCATACACATGCAACATCTGCCAACTTGCTCCCCTATCCACTCTTATCATATGCCTTTTCTAAAACCATAAATGCAATGAAAACTTCCCTACCTTTATCTAAATACTGTTCCTGTTCACATATATGCTTCAATGTAAACACCTGATCTACACATCCTCTATCCATTCTAAACCTCTTCGCTCATCTGCAATCCTGCTCTATGAGGTCTTGCCTCTAATTCTTTCAATAATAACCCTACCATACACTTTTCCTGGTATACTCGGTAAACTTTTTTTTTTTTTTTCAACAAGTCGGCCATCTCCCACTGAGGCAGGGTGACCCAAAAGGAAAGAAGATCCCCAGAAAGAAAATACTTCCATCATCATTCAACAATTTCACCTCACTCACATATAGTCACTGTCTTTTCAGAGGTGCCCAGATACAACAGGTTAGAAGCATATATAAAGATATATAACATACCCCTCCAAACTGCCAATATCCCAAACTCCTCCTTTAAAGTGCAGGCATTATACTTCCTATTTCCAGGACTCAAGTCCGGCTATATAAAAATAACCAGTTTCCCTGAATCCCTTCACTAAATATTACCCTGCTCACACTCCAACAGCTCATCAGGTCCCAAATACCATTTGTCTCTATTCACTCCTATCTAATACGCTCACGCACGCTTGCTGGAAGTCCAAACCCCTCGCCCACAAAACCTCCTTTACCCCCTCCCTCCAACCTTTTCGAGGACAACCAGGGCCGGATTAAGAAGTTTCCGGGCCCTAGGCTATTCAGATTGGCGGGGCCCCTTTGAGTTAAGGGTAAGCGAAGCGACCCCTTCCAGCTTGGGGGGGGGGGTCGGTGTGAGCCTGTTTAAGGTCTAAATACATTCTGGCTTTTTTTAGATTAAATTTTTTAAAGGGAAAGAAAATAAGACAAAAAAAACCCCATTTACCAACACCATTATAACTATCTTTTTAAATCATGCATTTTAAAAAGGGGAAAAAACTCAAGACAGCATAAATATTACTAATTAGGCTATTAAAGTAGTGAAAAACAGTCCTATTATATTGCATAACCCATACAGCCCTATTATTCCCTTTTTTAAAAAAACACTTACCCCTTTTGTTTTTTCATTCATCATGCATAGATTAAACAAATCATATAAATCAAGAAAGAAAAAAATTGTTTATTCACAGGACTTCTTAAATAAACTTTTTTCTGGATTTCCCTGTTGGCAAAATCAAACAATTTATTCTGAAAATCAAAAATTTCCTTGTTAGGGTCAGACTCAGTGGGCAACAAGGCTAAGGGGTTTCACAAAATTTTTCTTGGCTCATTGTTGAACGCAGCTTTGGTTTTTTACTCTTTTCAAAAAAAAAAATTTAACGTTTCCCTTTACAAAATTTGTAGCTGGGGGAAATGTTTTGGTAAAAGGCAATACCTAAAAACAAAAATTAACAAAAAGGGCAGGTTTTTTTGAGATACCTGCATTTCTTTAAAGGTTTTTAAAGCCCGCGGGGGGTGCACCTTTTTCAGGGGGGCTTTAATCTGATCTGATTCATATACCCAGAAAAATGAACTATTTCTTCAACAAATGTGTCCTGAACATCTGCTGAAAGGTGTTGTGGCAACTTTAATGCAGCTTCCCCTCAATTCAAATCAAAACACTTCAGTTAATTTGTCACAGTAAAGTCTAAAAACGTGTAATTACTACAGAAAATTTGGGAGAGGAATCTCCCATACTCACCCATTAGCGGGAAAACACAGCTGTTCTGATGTAAACAAAGGCGTGTTGAGTGTTGCCATCTATGGTTAGGTTTATTTATTTTTATTTTATTTTATTTCATTATTTTTGTTTTGATTAATTTTTAAAAATCAATTTTACTCTCCAAACACTTGAACTTTTTAGGTAGGGACCCCTTTGCACTTGCACCATGTGCGCAGTCTTGGATGAGCCCCTGAAAACCTTGGACCGCGGGGCCCCCAAATGCGCGGGGCCCTAGGCAAATGCCTAGTTTGCCTATGCGGTAATCCGGCCCTGAGGACAACCCCTACCCCGTTTTCCTTCCCCTACAGATTTATATGCTCTCCATGTCATTCTACCTTGATCCATTCTCTCTAAATGACCAAACCACCTCAACAACCCCTCTTCAGCCCTCTGACTAATACTTTTATTAACACCACAACTTCTCCTAATTTCCACACTCCGAATTTTCTGCATAATATTTACACCACACATTGCCCTTAGACAGGACATCTCCACTGCCTCCAACCACCTCCTCGCTGCAGCATTTACAACCCAAGCTTCACACCCACATAAGAGTGTTGGTACTACTATACTTTCAGACGTACATTCCCTTCTTTGCCTCCATAGATAACTTTTTTGTCTCCACATATACCTCAATGTACCACTTGCCTTTTTTCCTTCATCAATTTTATGATTAACCTCATCCTTCATAAATCCATCCGCTGACACGTCAACTCCCAAATATTTGAAAACATTCACTTCTTCCATACTCCTCCTCCTCCACAATTTGATATCCAATTTTTCTTTATCTAAATTATTTGATACTCTCTTCACCTTACTCTTTTCTATGTTCACTTTCAACTTTCTACCTTTACACACACTCCCAAACTCATCCACTAACCTTTGCAATTTTTCTCTAGAATCTCCCATAAGCACAGTATCATCAGCCAAAAGTTTTTTTTTTATCATCACACTGGCCGATTCCCACCAAGGCAGGGTGGCCTGAAAAAGAAAAACTTTCACCATCATTCACTCCATCACTGTCTTGCCAGGAGGGTGCTTTACACTACAGTTTTTAAACTGCAACATTAACACCCCTCCTTCAGAGTGCAGGCACTGTACTTCCCATCTCCAGGACTCAAGTCCGGCCTGCCGGTTTCCCTGAACCCCTTCATAAATGTTACTTTGTTCACACTCCAGCAGCACGTCAAGTATTAAAAACCATTTGTCTCCATTCACTCCTATCAAACACGCTCACGCATGCCTGCTGGAAGTCCAAGCCCCTCGCACACAAAACCTCCTTTACCCCCTACCTCCAACCTTTCCTAGGCCGACCCCTACCCCGCCTTCCTTCCACTACAGACTGATACACTCTTGAAGTCATTCTGTTTCGCTCCATTCTCTCTACATGTCCGAACCACCTCAACAACCCTTCCTCAGCCCTCTGGACAACAGTTTTGGTAATCCCGCACCTCCTCCTAACTTCCAAACTACGAATTCTTTGCATTATATTCACACCACACGTTGCCCTCAGACATGACATCTCCACTGCCTCCAGCCTTCTCCTCGCTGCAACATTCATCACCCATACTTCACACCCATATAAGAGCGTTGGTAAAAACTATACTGTCATTACATTCCCCTCTTTGCCTCCAAGGACAAAGTTCTTTGTCTCCACAGACTCCTAAGTGCACCACTCACCCTTTTCCCCTCATCAATACTATGATTCACCTCATCTTTCATAAACCCATCCGCTGACACGTCCACTCCCAAATATCTGAATACATTCACCTCCTCCATACTCTCTCCCTCCAATCTGATATCCAATCTTTCATCACCTAATCTTTTTGTTATCCTCATAACCTTACTCTTTCCTGTATTCACTTTTAATTTTCTTCTTTTGCATACCCTACCAAATTCATCCACCAATCTCTGCAACTTCTCTTCAGAATCTCCCAAGAGCACAGTGTCATCAGCAAAGAGCAACTGTGACAACTCCCACTTTGTGTGATTCTTTATCTTTTAACTCCACGCCTCTTGCCAAGACCCTCGCCAAAAGTATGTGTCAATTCGCATTTTGTATTTGATTCCCCATAATTTAATCCCACCCCTCTCCCAAACACCCTAGCATTTACTTTTTACAGCCCCATCTATAAATATATTAAACAACCATGGTGACATTACACAACCCTGTCTAAGACCTACTTTTACCGGGAAGTAGTCTCCCTCTCTTCTACACACACATTTTATTCATTCTAGAGTGTATATCAAGTTTCTATGTTATTTATATTGTTTATAGTGTCATATCACATGAATTGTGATAGATAAATATGCCGTAGAGTTGATATTAGCATTAATTTGTCATTCCTCCTGAGAGCAGGAATTCCACTGGAATGGATTAGTGTCATTTCAGTTAATTTAAATGAGGAAAATTGACTCAGCATAAGAACAAATCAGGATACGAACAAGGTCATGGAACTGATTAAGTTCATAAGCCGAGGTTCCACTGTATAATATAAAAAAAGGGGGTTACCAGCTTATAAGGTGGATGAAAGGTGGTGTAGGGAAATGTCCCAGGAAGGGTTGGATGAGAATATGAAAGATGCTGTATTGGCTTGAGCATCAAGCAAGTCAGTGAACATGTTGGTTTGGAATAAATGAAGAAAGTTGTTTTAGGATTCAACATATTGTTGGAGTATTAGCAAGGTAACATCCCCAGAGAAGTTAATTAGTTAGACTTGAGTTTTGGAGGTGGAAGGTACAGTGCTTGCACACATAAGAATGAGTAGGGATGTTGCAGTTTGTATGGTTATATTATTTATAGTTTTGTAAAAACTGTGAGCCTTGTTTTTAACAAGGATCACAGTTAGGATTCTGTATTATTCATACAGCATCCTAAGTCTACAGGAGTAGACTTAGGATGCTGTATGAATAATAACCAGGGTCTTAGTCTAAATGTAGTTGTATAAGAATGCATTGTCATTTGTTTTTACTTGTTAGGCTGGCGCACAACAGTTAATGAAAGACTGTGTGCCTTGGAACTGGAGAGGTTGCAGCACCTGGAAGAATCAGAAGTCCAGGGAGTTGGGATGACCATGCCAGACCTCTGCCATGATCACTTTTCTGCACACGACCTTTCATCTCATAAAGAAGAAGCAGAGATGATTTATGAACAATATCTTTCTGAAAAAGTATGTTAAATCCATGTGTATTGTCTTGTCTTGACTAAAATTTTCCCAAGTTTTACATTATTATGTCTTTTGATCCCCCTTTGAGTTTGTTCTTTTGACAGGAAGTTTGACATCTCCTTTTATTCCCATACAGGATTAATGCTACCTGTCTGTTATTTGATGTTTGTAGTTCTTAAAAGAACACCAATGATTTATTACATATCTCAGGGGTAATCATCACATCTAGTGCATCCACAAATAAAAATGTGATAAATTACAAACTTTTAAGATCACTTTTTGAGATGATTGTATTTATAAAAGGTGAAAAAACAACAAGTCCTAAGTTACAAATGCAATCCTCAATTTTCTTTGAGTTATTTGGAACTCAGAACCTACTTTTACAGACACCTATATACCTGAGCCATAATAATTAGTACTGTATTAATTTCATCTTTTATGATTAAGAGTATTTGCCAAATATTTTAAATTTAGTACTGTTGTTTCACTTACAAATATTGTATTAAACATTTAAACATGTATCCACGTTAATTATACATAATAAAACTACAACAGTGTACGGATATGTACAGGTGGAAAGCAGAGAGATTGAGAGAGAGAGAGAGATTGACAGAGAGAAAGAGATACGTAGTGTGTGTGTAAGAGTGAGAGATATTGTGTGTGTGAGAAAGAGTGAGTGAATGAGAGAAAGATTGTGAGGGAGTGCAAAAGAAGAGCAAATGAGAGAAAGGGTTAATTATCACCTTATTGTGGTAAGAATAAGAAACTCTTTTGGAGATTAATAAATTTCAAAAGCTTGTAGTTAATAGACCTGGTAGTTAAACATGAAAGTGGTGAGATGTTAGATGGGAGGAGAAATGGAGAAAATTTTTTTAAGTAAGTTAAATGGTGCTGGTGAAAGAGAGGCATTGATTTCATGTATTTGGTGGGAAGAAATAACATTGTTGGGAAGATCCAGATGTGAGTATGGAAGTGTGTGATACATTGGGTAGGATGAGAGAAGTTAAAGCAACCAGAATAGACGAGGTCAAGATTAAGATGCAGAATTCAGATAGGGACATAGTTTAGTGTGGGTCATTGTAAGACAGTGAAATAGAATACAGCCTCTCCTCACTTAGTGATGTACTCATTTACTGACGACTTGGACTTACGGCGAGTTTTCTGACCAGTATGCATACCTAAATAATGTATATTAGAACTAATTTCCTCTACTCTGTTTATTACAATATACAGTACACTACTGTATAAACATTTAAAAATATTCCAGAAATGTTATAAATGGTGCAAAGGTGATGTTAAAACAATATCAAAGATGGTTGACATTAATCCACTACCATTATAGTATGCTCTTCACTTAGTGATGAATTTGTTTACCGACATGGTCTTAGTAACGGAACTCGTTCATTAAGTGAGGAGGGCCCCACTTTACGACAGTTCGCTAATACGTACAAAAATTTCAAATTATACCAAAAAATTTGTTTACATGGCTCTTTATTTGCTATTACAGCATCCGTGCACCACCCTTCCACTCTGTTTACATTCTTAGTGAGCTCTGCTTCTTTTCTAATTATATCTGGAAACTTTCCAGAATTTCAAGTGTTTCAAAGTTATTGTATATTTTATGTACAGTAGACCCTCATATTACATGGATTTATTTGGCACATTTTGGTTATTACACTATTGAAAAATTGCAGCTTAATTTTATATAACTGTTCATAAAATTAACTTAACATGGTTCAGTTTGTAGGAGGGGAAGAAATTTGGGGGTGGCGCCCGTGGGATATGTCCCTAGCTCAGGCCGCAGTCTGGCTGTGGGTGAGACCACCGTCTCCGCAGGGGAGTCCTACCACCATCCCCTGCGACTCCTGCCACCCCCGTCCCAGCCTTCTGTTCATACACGTCTAGGACCATTCTCTTGTAAGAGCTAGCTGTGTTTGTGGAGTGTGTTTTAGTAAGTAAGTAAGTAAGTTTATTCAGGTATAGACAAATACAGTTACATAGAATTATCATACATAGCAGCATATGTGTAGAGAACCTAGGATAACTCAAAAAAGTCAGACAGAGTGACTTATTTCCATTGGGGTCCTTTTACCTTATTATTATAATATAAAGGTTATAATATTTTCTTATTATTCTACAATGAAGATAACATTATCATACTAAAAAGACTATTTACTACACCAAGGTCATTAAGACTATCTACAATACGAGGGTCATTACTAGGAATAAGGTAAAATTTACACGTATGTTAGCTAAAAAATAGAAAATCATTCCCCTCCCTTTCTGTAGCTACATTCATCAGACACCTTTTGGCACTCTTCTTGAACTGGTTCATGCTATGACTGGCTTTGACATGTGTGGGCAGTCTGTTCCATTCCTTTATTGCTGTACAGTAAAAGGTGTTTGAAGCCTGGCCACTGACTGTGGGTACTACAAAGTTGTGCTCTCTCCCCCTAGTACTATGATTGCTTTGGTTCCCAACCTTGACAAAATTGACAGCAAGATATTCTGGACATTGTTTGTGAGCAATTTTATAAACATGATTTAGCTTCAGTTGTTTTACTCTGTCTTCAACATTCAGCATATCCTTCTTCTTCTTTCAACGTACCAGCCGTATCCCACTGAGGTGGGGTGGCCCAAAAGAAAAAACTGAAGTTTCTCCTTTTAAATTTAGTAATATATGCAGGAGAAGGGGTTACTAGCCCCTTGCTCCCGGCATTTTAGTCGCCTCTTACGACACGCATGGCTTACAGAGGAAGAATTCTGTTTCACTTCCCCATGGAGATAAGAGGAAATAAACAAGAACAAGAATTAGAAAGAAAATAGAAGAAAACCCAGAGGGGTGTGTATATATATGCTTGTACATGTATGTGTAGTGTGACCTAAGTGTAAGTAGAAGTAGCAAGACTTACCTGTAATCTTGCATATTTATGAGACAGACAAAAGACACCAGCAATCCTACCATCATGTAAAACAATTGCAGGCTTTCGTTTTACACTCGCTTGGCAGGACGGTAGTACCTCCCTGGGCGGTTGCTGTCTACCAACCTACTACCTACATTCAGCATATCCAACTGCTGTAATTCATCCTGGCCTACATGTTCTCTTGGTCCCAGCCCCAGGATGAATCTTACGATTTTGTTCTGGGTGATTTGCAGTCTATCTTTCAGTTTTTTTGTCAAGGCAGAGTACCAAGAAGAGCAAGCGTAATCCATATGGCATTGTATAAGGGCTAGACATAGGGTCCTGCGACCCTCAGTAGGTAGACACTGTGCTTGTCTATACAGGAACTTCACTCTGGCATTTGCTTTCTTTACTACACTGTTCCCTATCAATTCTCCTGACATGCATGGGTCAAAGGGGATTCCCAAATATTTTACTGATGAAACCAAAGTGATGGGCTCCCCATTACATTGAACATTAAAATTATTTACCCTTCTCAGTTTATGTTTCAGTTTTCCCTAGGTGTAATGATAGTTTGTTGTCTACTAACCATTTGCTGCAGGACTCCAGTTCCAGTGTTAAAACATTAGCAATATCTTGTGGGTCTTTACCTGACACTAACAGAGCACTGTCATCTGCATACAGTAGGAGTTTGCACTTGACACTGATAGGCATATCATTGACATAACATAAGAATAATAAGGGACCCAGAATACTACCTTGGGGAACTCCACATGTTATCGGCAGGGGTTCTGATTCTGTTCTGTTGATTTTGACTATTTGTCTCCTGTTGCTAAGGTAGGACTTAAACCAGTCTACAGAACCTATACCGATAGCTTGAAGTTTATTACATAATATATTGTGGTTGACAGTATCGAAGGCCTTTTGCAGGTCTAAGGTTACCATACCTATGAGGTTCCCCTTTGACATTTCAATTCTCAGGTAATCCATCAGATTAATAAGGGAGGTGTCGGTTGAGTAGGATCTTCTAAAGCCCGATTGATAGCTATGGAGAATGTTGTTGTCATTAAGATACTTAACTACTTGAGAATACACCGCCCTCTCTAGAATTTTAGATATTATACTGAGTATACTAACAGGCCTATAGTTGCTTATATTAGACCTACTATTTTTCTTGAAGATATGAGTAACTCTGGCCTCCTTGAACCCCTTCGGTACTGTATTAGTGGTGATTGATAGATTTATTATGTGAGCAATAGGGATTGACAGTTCAGAAGCAACCATCTTTTAGGAACTTAGACGGGATGTTATCAGGGCCTGTGCTCTTAGTTGGGTTTAACCTGCTTAGTTCTTTTTGAATAAAGTCATGAGATACACTTAATAGTTGACAACTGTTTGGGGTTACCCCTTTATTGGTATAGTATGTTTGAAACTTATCAGAGTCTGTGTTAAAGGTATTTGATGCAGCTGGTAGTTTACTTGCTAGTGTTGATGCAACAGATGTGTAGTATGAATTAAAGCAATTTGCCACCTTAGATGTTTCATGGCATACCTCATTATCGATAGTGAGTACTATGTTAGACCTATCTACTGGCTTATGGCTATACCTCAACTGTTTTAGTTGTTGCCAGAGCTTTCTGGGGTTATGCTTATACTCTTCAATTTTTGAGCAGTAGTGCTTTGCCTTTGCTCCTTTTATAAGTCTCTGTACTCTGTTCCTCACCCTTTGGAATTCATTTAGTGCTGCAATATCCTGTCCTGTTTGCTTTAAATCTTTTTAGCAGCTGGTCTCTGAATTCATATTATCTAATATCTCAGTATTCATCCAGGGTTCAGTTCTTCGTTTAATCCTAACCTCTTTAACTGGTGCAATATTATCAAGGATGGTAGTGAACATTGTTTTGAATTTTTCCCAGGCATCGTTTACGTCCGTGCAACTTGTTGTCTCTGTCCAGTCACAATTGTGTAGCCTATTTACCAGTGTTTCTTTACTGTAGTTTCTAGTTGACCTCATTTTTATTGTCCTGTGTAGGCCTATCCTATCCCTAGTGATTTTCCTGGTGCAGTAAATGATGAAATGATCACTAAGACCTGTGGTAA